AGTATGGACATAATCTTCAAACTGACTTTGATCATTTGGTTCAATAGTTTCATCAATTGCAATAAATAATCTTGCAGTATTTGGAAATTCAGATATTAGCTAATCATTTATTTCATGAACATAATCATTTTTGGTTGTCAAAATCACATGAGAAGGAGGAAGAATCACGAAACAATGAGTCTATACTAGGGTATGTTACGTTAAATAACTCTTGTAAGGATTGTTCTTCAGTAGTAAAAAGAATGAGTAAAGAATTGGAAATTTCAACTTTATAATGGGAGTTAAGTTTTTCTTTTCCGTCACCAATTCTCATCAAGTACTCTGAAAAAGTAGGATCTGTTTTTGCGCACATATTCTCTTATAGGTGTACTTTTTTAAGTTGGTTGCAGATTTCTGAGTATAATAAACTTTGAGAAATGAAGTCTTCTTTTTTCCCATTTCGAACAACGGGAAGGGTTTGTCAAAAATCACCTCCTAAAACGACCACTTTTCCACCAAAAAGCATTCTCGTATCCATCAAATCATTTAATAGTAAATCAAAAGCTTCAATGGTTTTTGCTTTAGCCATTGATCCTTCATCCCAGACAAATAGTTTTTTATCCCGAATCAAACATGCAAGTGAGCTTTGTTTGATGACATTGCAACTAATATTTTCATCGACAATAATAGGTATCTTAAAATGTGAGTGAGCAGTTCGTCCTCCAGGAAGAATAGAAGTTGCGACACCAGAACTTGCAGTTGCTAATGCTACAAATCCTTTAAATCTTATTGTTGCTAATAAACTTCAGTATAACAAACTTTTGCCAGTTCCTCCTGGACCATCAATAAAAATGCTCCTGCTGTATTAGAAAATATTCTATCAACAATTATAGTATAAGCTTTTTGTTTTTCTCTAGTTAGATTTTTCTCCAATAACAAATCGTCTTCGGAAACTCTTATACTTCTCTCAAAATGAACATCTTTTACCTCTCTTTTGATTACCGAAGGTTGAATATTCTCTGGAACAAGCTTATATTGATTTATATCATGTCCCATTGAGTGTAGCTCATCATAATATGGTTCAAAACGAGCACAGTGTGTCCAATAGACCAAAAGTATTTTGTAGAAGGCGCAATTTATAAGGAATTTCCATGGGAATGTAACGAAGCTCCGGGAAGAATGAGGTGGCTAGTGGATCACTGTTTACGCCTGAGTTTAGTAGGGATCAACAACGGTCTACGATCACTTTTGGTAGTTACCTACCACCTAGGTTTCAATCTATTGAAGAAGAGAAGGAAGAGTTGCAGTCTGATTTGGATTCGCAAAAGTCGATCCACCTGGAGGCCTATGGTGGAACTACAATGGACTCACAACCAGCGATGAGGAGGCTACAATTTTCAGGGGTAGAAACTTCTGGCCAGATCTGAAGCGAACGACGACTCTGGAACAGGTTGAGAGATTGGAAAATGGGAAGGTGCAAAGGTGAAAATCACTTGAATATATACCTTCGTGCTTCAGAAATGGTAAGAAATGTGTAACGATTGTACAAGATGACTTGAATGAAAATACAAGCTATTGGAAGTCTGCATTGATTGGGTTTGTTATATGTGATACTCCATACATGAAATCATTGAGAATTTTATCCGTGATAACTGGAAAAAGCACAATATGCCTCAAATTCTGCTCCATGACGAGGGTTACCTTGTGTTCCGGTTTGATACTGAAGAGGAATGTGAACATATCCTTCATTAGGGTCCATACACATTAAAAAATAAACCATTCATTCTACAAAAACGGGAATTGAACTTTGAATTTAACCCTAATTGTATCACCACAATTCCTTTGTGGGTTACTTTACCTGGGTTACCGGTGGGATACTGGTCAAAGGATGCTCTAAGTAAGGTCACTAGTGCGATTGGAAAACCTCTCCATATGAATAATTTTACAGCTGATATGACACGGATTTCTTATGCGCGGATTTTGGTGGAGGTCGATGTGGCTCAACCTTTCCCAGACAACATTGATATCTCGACCCACTATGGGGAATTTTAACAATCAGTGGTGTATGATTCGCGTCCTAAGTTCTGCTCCAGCTGTATGAAGTTTGGACATGAGCTTTCGTAGTGCTGGAACAAGATTGAAGAGGAATTTCAGGAAAAGAAAAGACGAAAAAGAAGTAACATGAGGAGACCTAAGCTACCTATATGGAAACTAAGGCAGGATCAAGCTACTAATGATGAGAATAGGGTGGTTCAGACTACAATTCCATCGATAGAAGAGACAAAAATGAGGTTGAGTCTAAGGAACCTAAGCCAGAGGCAACATCTGGTTGCTTGATACGATCGAATATCCCAGTCCTTAATAGCTTTCAAAGCCTCGCCATGGAGGCATCCACAAGCACAGGCGTCCCCAAGGGTCTTCACCCACCATGAGATTAGTTACGTGGATTGTTCGGGGGCTGAATCAGTCCTTCAAACAGAAAGAAGTTAGGCTCTTTCTGATTGATAATAAGGTGGATGTGGTGGGACTCATTGAAACTAAAGTAAAAGAGAACAAGACTCAAAACATTACAAATAAATTGGGTACTGACTGGAAACATTGCTGCAACTATCCATTGGGAAAGAATGGCAAAATTTGGTTACTTTGGAGGAATTTAGCTCAAATACAAGTGGAGAAGCTAAGTGAGCAATTCATCTATTGTTCTCTCAGTCATAGTGCTAGTGATATTAAGAGTAAACTCACAGTTGTGTATACCAAGAATGACAGTCCTACCAGAGATCAACTTTGGTTAGAATTGATTGGGATGGGTAGACTAATTCAAGAGTGATAGATTATAGCGGGAGACTTTAACAATGTTTTATCATCAGGTGATAGGTTGGGTTCCTCTGTGTTGCCAGGTGAAACTCAAGACTTCCAAGACTGCATAGTCACATTGAAGCTTACAAAACTGAAAGCCATAGGGTGTCATTATACGTTTTGTAATAAACAGCAGGGTAATAGTAGAGTTTACTCGAAAATAGATTGGGCGTTTGGTAACCTCCCCTGGATGACAACTCATGGTCATGTGGAGGTTGATTACCTAGGAGCTGGTATTTCTGATCATTCCCCTATTCTGATACAAGTGTGCCCTCCTCCTTATTCAAATCCTAAGACATTCAGTTTGTTCAAAACAGTGCTAAATCATCCAGATTTTGGTAGGCTAGTTGACGAAAGTTGGAAGAAGCAGACTCCAGGGACAACAATGGTACGATTATGGCCAAAAACTGAAATATGTGAAATTAGGATTAAAGAATTTGAATTCCTACATGGCATCTTATGGTCAGAAATTGATACAGGCAAGACAAGAGTTAGAGATTGCTCAGAGCAGTTTAGTTATAAATCCCCTATGTCCAAGACTAATAGAAAAGGAGAAACAGCTGCTAGAAGAAATCAGGAAATGGAGTGATGTCGAGACTCTAGTCTTGCAGCAAAAATCTACAGCAAACTAGATAAAAAGTGGAGATGCTAATAAAATGTTTTTTCATGCTCAGGTGAAGATCAGAGAGAGCAAAAACTCCATTACTTCAGTTTATGATAATGCAGGTACAAAGGTGCAGGACCCTTAAATGGTGGAAGCTGAATTTATTAGATTTTATTCAGAACTAATGGGAACAAGAGCTGAAAATCTACCATGTCCTAATGATGCATTCATTAGAGAGGGGCCTTGTCTAATATATGAACAGAAGTGCAGGCTAGTGGTCCCTGTAACTGAAGAAGAGATCATGCTTGCCATCAAGAGTATGCCGACTGATAAGTCTCCAGGGATTGATGGATTTCCAATTGAGTTTTTTGTGAAGAACTGGACAGTAGTAAAACTAGATGTGGTTCAGGCTATCCAAGATTTCTTTCATGTGGGTAAAATGCTTAAAGCCTTTAGTTGTACATCAGTTACTCTTATCCCTAAAATCCCTAATCCTGCCCAGGTAAAAGACTACAGGCCTATAGCTTGTTGCACCACATTCTATAAGATCATTACAAAAATCTTAACGAACAGAATGAAGCTAGTGGTTGATCATATTGTTAGTCCTCCACAATCTGCTTTCATAAAGGGGAGGAGTATTATTGATAATGTACTGATTAGTCATGAAATCCTAAAGTGGTACACTAGGAAAGGGCAATCTCCTCAATGTGTTATGAAGGTAGACCTAAGGAAAGCTTATGATTCCATTGAATGGTGCTTCTTAGAATCAATCATGGCAGAGTTGGGATTTCCTTACTTATTCATAAAGTGGGTGATGGCTTGCATTACTTCAGTATCATACTCATTACTGTTTTTTGGAGGACTCACAGCACCTTTTGAGGGTAAGAAAGGAATCAGACAAGGGGACCCTATGTCTCCTTACCTTTTTGTGCTTGCTATGGAATACATCCAAAAGGAACTCTATCAATTGGATAAAAGCATTGGTTTCGAGTATCATCCGAGGTGTAAAAGGTTGGGGATCACTCATGTTTGATTCGCAGATGACATGTTGCTCTTTTATAAAGCTGAGGTGAACTCTATTTAGATGCTACATGATGCTTTCACAAGATTTTCTAAAGCTTCAGGGCTGCAGGCTAACACAGAAAAAAGTTGTATATATATGACTGGGGTGAAACCTAGGGTGAAATAGGAAATTCTTGGTCAGCTTGGTTATCAAGAAGGTGAGCTACCATTTAAATATTTGGGGGTTCCACTATCCTCAAAGAAACTAACTGAGGCACAATGTTTACCAATAGTTGAAAAGATAACTGCAAGAATTAGGTGTTGGTCAGCTAAATTGTTGTCCTACGCTGGAAGGACTCAATTAATTAGATCAGTTATTTTTGGCATTCAAACATATTGGGGACAAATTTTTCTGTTGCCTAAAAGAATTATGAAGATGATAGAGAGTATTTGTAGAACCTACTTATGGACAGCTAATACTCTGAATTCCAAGAAGGCCTTAATATCTTGGGCAAAGTTATGTAGTCCTACAGTTGCAGGCGGCCAGAACATAATAAATATGGTACTATGGAATCAAGCAACTATTCTTAAGCTACTGTGGGCAGTAACAAAAGAGAAGGAGAGCTTGTGGATAAAATGGTTGCAGGTATATTATATGAAAGGGCAATCTGTTGAAGTATGCTCCATCCCAACAAATGCTACTTGGGTGTTGAGAAAGATTGTTGAGGTTCAAAAAATCATCTTGAATACACAACACTTGCAAGGTGATCTAAATAGCAGGCTAGCACTGATGGTCCACAATGGTAGATTCTCGATCAAAAAGATGTACATTAGCCTACTCCCTATTTACCAAAAGATGCCATGGAAGAGTATTGTTTTGCATCCCATCATTCATCCCAGATTTAAATTCACTTGTTGGCTGGATGCTTGGCAAAGAGTCGCTACAGCTGATAGACTATTGAAAATTGGTATCCATGTCCCTCTTGAGTGTAGCTTCTGTAATAATGCAATGGAGACTGTTGAACATTTGTTTTTTGATTGGACTATCACAAAGGATTTATGGGCACGTTTGCTGATTTGGTTAGGCTTTACAAGAAGTATTGATGGCTGGAAAAATGAACTACTTTGGGTTAATGCTCAAGCTAAAGGTACATCTGGAAAAGGTGCGTTGGTTAGTTGTTATTTCGTCACACTGGTAGCATTGCTCTGGAGGGAGAGGAATAAAATCAGATTTGAACAGGGTCAGCTTCAAGTGGACAAGTTCTTAAGAGAAATTGCCTATCATCTTCATGTGAGAGCTCAAACTCGTCCAAGATGGAAGGCTGCTCTTACCTTGATAGTTGGAATTCCGTAGTCATAGGCTGACACTGGTCATAGTAGTTGTTGATTAGGTTCGAGATAGATTGTTTTGTTTTCTTATACATAGCGTCTGTTATATTCTTTTATATAGTTAGTAAGACTAGTATAGAAGGATGTGGTTAGCAGATTTGAGAAATAGGTGGTCTGCACGTATTTAATGTTGTAATGATTCACTTTAGTTTTGAAATAAAATGTTTCGTTTACCAAAAAAAAAATGCTTCAAAACTTTGTGTCAAACATCTCGCAGTTCAACACTTTTGGAGTTTTTAAAATCTTCAGACATAGACTCTTCAAATTGTTCCCATAACTCTTTTGGGTTTGTAGGATTACAGTAAACTAATAATGTAGCAAATAATCATCTTAAACTATATGGTAATTGATAACTTACAGCTTCAATCATACAGTCAACTAAGGTGTTATGAGAATATTGTAATTCCCTTTTTTCTGCAGATTCCCTAAATGTAGTACAATATGTTCCATTGACCATATGAAGATCTTCGTATGATTTTGGACCCCTGACATTCATAAGTAATAATCTTAGATACTATCTCTCTCCTTCTGTTGGATGGAATGTCACAACACGTCCAATAATTGTACGTTGTTTTCGATGTGTCCACATTTTATATGAAGTTGACCATACAAAGTATTGAAGAAACTCTTTGTATAATAGATTAAGTTGTTGAGCATCCTCATTTGTTTGGTTCATAACAAAGAATTCAGTTAACATTATTTTTCTAATCATTGGATTTCTTATTATTGTATTTATACTTTTAGTGCTTTTAAAAGAAACGCATTGTTGTGCTTCAAGATGTAACTGAAGATGGTAAGCAGTCGGAGTCATCTCATTGATAGGTTAACCAAACAAGCGCCATGTAACTTCAGGCAGAGAGACCCACCGAGCAGATTTATATTCTTTTATGTCATCAACCTCTATTTGTTTATCGTTCTCATGCACAAAAACAATTTTATCGTGTCTTCTGAATATATTTGTAAAGGTACTTCACAACTTTAATGTCAGAACATATTTTGACATTCATTTCACAATTAAACTTGGCAAGTAAAAATTGATTGTATGGTACGACCAAGGAGTTATCAAGATATTGCCCTTTAACTTTTATAAGTTCTCTTGTGTGTTGTCTTTTGTAAATGAGATATGAGTTTTTGCCTTTAAATGTTTGTGCAGCGAAATCTTTAGGATATTTAAATTTACAGTAGCCTTTACTTTTCATACATGGATTTGTAGGATTCAAATGACCACAAGGACCATGCATCATTTAATGTACAACAACTAAATGTAGGTAATCTTCTTTGTTAGAATCAGGTAATTTAGCACGAATAATTCTGTCATATAACTCATGTGTCAACAATTTATATTCATTAAACAGAATAATAAGGAAATGTGCATGTGGGAGACCACGTTTCTGGAATTCTATACTGTACATAAATGCAACAACCTTTCTGAAGATATTTCGTTTAAATATATTAGTTTTTAGTTCTTCGACATTCCCTCGAAATATTTTACTAATCAAATCATGTATGTTTTGTGCCTCATCAGCAGGTAACAAATGTTCATTTATTTCAGGCCACATTGGATTACAAGTCATTGTTAGAAATAAATTAGGTTTTCCGAAATGTTGTACCAAAGTGATAGCGTCAAGATATCTCTGATGCATATTTCTTGGTCCTCCGGTAAATGTGACAAGGAGGAATGTTTGTTTTCCAATTTTAGTAGCATCTCTTTCACCATGTATTAAGACATCTAGAAGACCTTGGAAAACTTCCATTCAAAATAAGTCTTGATTGAAGGAAAAGAAATCTAGCCTTTGTGTTTCAAGCTTTGAGAATACATCAACGATATAATGTAAGAGGTCATCATTTTCATCATCTTGCATTTAAATTTTGTAAGAATAATATTCACGGCAGGAGACATTTTTTTTTACTATTGTACACATGTTTTTAACACTGGGTATGTATTCCCATTCACAGTAGACATAACAGCTGGTTGTATTCTTTGGCTGTAGTATTTTCTTAATACCACAATGCCACTCAACTTGACCATATGGAAATAACAGTGGATATTGTAAGGGATCATAGAATCCAAGTAGTAATTAACTAATTGACTTTTATTATTGTGAGGATAAATATGAATATCAGGTTTCAATATAGTATGTACTCCTTCATCAACCCATATTGCTTAAACTTCTAATGTAGTAGGTAGGTTATATACTCGTTGATCTAAACCCGAATCACATGTTAGTGAAATGTAAAACTGTAATAGTTCTGGTACATCAGTTAGAGATTTCAAAAAGAAAGAGTATGCATTAACTTGCAGTATATTCATCAATTTTATCATCACAGTTTCCTGTAGTGGTGGCAAATGGGCGGGTTGGGTCAAAATAGGGCGTTTTGAAAATGGGTAAATATAAAATGAGTAATAATTCAACCCGCCCATATTTGATATGGGTAAAAATTGAATAGGTAATAAATGGGTTGGGTAAAATACTAGTTTACCCATATTTACCCATATTTTCATTAATAAATAGTACTTTACTTAAGAATTCAATATGGAGAAAATATGTTAATCTTTTATTAGATGAAAAATGTTGAAAATGTCATTTAGTTTTATTGTATCATAAAAATAAAAAAAATCCTATAACTTTTCAATATAAAATAAATTTATGTAATAACAAGATGAAAATATTTTAAAATTCAAATTAAATGAATATTTGCATTTTAGGACTAAAACTTGCTTAATGCACTTTAAGCAATATCAATACTAACACATGATTTGCTTATTTTACACTATTATTTATTATCCAATATAAAGTTAAACAAATAAAAAAATATAATTATAATTAACATAAGAAATGTACATTTAAAATATGTATTTTTGAAGGGTCAAAGACTTCACCTTTTCAATTATAGAGAAGAATAGTTAGTACAATAGAACAACATAAAAAGGAAGACAGTTACACTATTTTTAGTGATATCATGAATTTTCAGTAAATAAAAGTTGGAAGCTTAAACCATTTGGCTAATTCATATTTTACCCATATTTTACCCATATATTACCCATATTTTACCCATATTTTTATGGGTTGAATATGGGTATCAACCCATAATTTACCCATGTAAAAAATCTCTCACCCAACCCATTAATATATGGGCGGGTTACCAAAATATTGGCTCTTTTTGCTGGCACTAGTGTAACATCCGGCGATTTGAAATAATTATGAAGAGGCTTAGAATTGGAAATTTTCATTTTTGGAAAGATTTAAAATCTGGAAAATTTGGCTAAGTATGGAAAAAGGTGAGTTTTTGGCCAACTTTGATCAATCATAACTTCTATATTAGGATGAGTTAGGTGCAGTTCCAGTTATGGTTGCAAATCTTGTGGAATGATCTTTCCAACGCCACCGAGTTTGCTCGATTCCGAGTTTGTATGAGTGAGTTATGCCCTTTGTAAGTTGGGCAGTTGGCAGGGAAATCCGTCCGGAAAATTTAAGGGCATTTTGGTCTTTTCCCTAATCAATTCTTTTGATTATATTAAAGTGTTGGGCTGATTTTAGATCAGTTTTGTCCCATTTTATAAGAGTGAGAGTTAGGGCTTTTGAGTGAAGAAGAGAAGAAGAAGAGAAGAAGAGGAGAAAGAAGAGATCAAGCAAGCTTCCGTCGTGGATATCGTCGGGGGTGATCCCTACTAGGTATGTGAGTCCATAGGATTGGGTTGGTTCTTTCCCCCACCCTCCAAACTCATTTTATTGTCAAAGAAGGATTGGTTGTGTTGTTGAAGTTGTTGGTTGTGTTGTTGATGTTGTTGTTGGTGTTGTTGAAGTCCTTTGTTGTTTTGGGCATGTTTTTGGTTGTGGTTTTGAGTTAAATTTCTTGTATGTTGAGGGATTTGATGATCCTTAGTGCTTGGGGTTGAAACCATGGAAGTTTAGAAGGTTTAGAGTTGGAGAAAAGTCGAGTTTTCTGGGTAAAGGGGTGACGCGTCGCGCCTGCCAGTGTGCCCTAAAAGGGGTTCTGAAGTTTCCCCCTTGGAGCGGTGCGCCTAGCAGAGCGCCAGCAGGCTCCCTCTTAAATTCGAGGGCTGGCGCTCCGCGCCTTGCAGAGCGCCAAAGACCCCAACCTACCCCTTTCATTCCCCACTCTTTCATGCATGTTCCTTGGTATTGTACCTATGTTT